GAGAGAGAGAGAGAGAGAGAGAGAGAGAGAGAGAGAGAGAGAGAGAGAGAGGACAGACAGACAGACAGACAGACAGACAGACAGACAGACAGAGACAAATAACAGTATGGACATTCATAATGACAACTTGACAAAAACGTGAAGTTGACCGGTTGTCGTAAATTATAATTTGGTAGTCAGTGGAGAAACGGGACATCACTCTATCTAGACTATGACTAAGGGGAAAGGCAAAGGAAGTCATAGCTGCTTGTTTTGTTGGTCATATTGGGATGGTGGAAAGATAGATAACTTGTTTTGCAAGTCAGCTTTGATTGATGAAAAGATAGCTAGTTTTGCAAGTCAGCCTTGTCACGTGCAAACATAGCCTGTTTTGTAAAAATCAGATTTCTGGAATCCAGTTCAAAGATAATAATCTGTTTTGTAAGCCGGCTTTATCTCTTGCAATGGCCGTCTATTTTGTTACTTAGCTTTGTCTGGTACAAAGATAGCCTGTTTTTTAAATCAGCTTTGTCTAGTACACTTGAGAAGATAGCTTGTTTTGTTAGATTTCTCTACTCTGGTACAAAGATAGCCCTTTTTGTTCATCAGCTTTGTCTAGTACAAAGATAGCCCTTTTTGTTAATCAGCTTTGTCTAGTACAATATATCCTGTTTGGTTAAACAGCTTTGTATAATTTAGTACAAAGATAGTGATAGTCGGTTTGGTTAAGCAGCTTAGTATAATCTAATGCAAAGATAACCTGTTTGGTTAGACAACTTAGTATAATTTAGTGCAAAGATAATATCCTGTTTGGTAAGAGAGCTTTGTATAATTTAGTACAAAGATAGTGATAATCGGTTTGGTTAGACAGCTTAGTATAATTTAGTGCAAAGATAATATCCTGTTTGGTTAGACAGCTTAGTATAATTTAGTGCAAAGATATTATCCTGTTTGGTTAGACAGCTTAGTATAATTTAGTGCAAAGATAAAATCCTGTTTGGTAAGAGAGCTTTGTATAATATTGTACAAAGATAGTGATAGTTGGTTAGGTTTTTACAGCTTAGTATAATCTAGTGCAAAGATAACCTGTTTTGTTAGACAGCTTTGTATAATAATCTAGTGCAAAGATAATATCCTGTTTGGTTGCAGGTTCTGTTTAGTACCTTCGCCCCATTCTCTACTAGTATACTGTGCTATCATACTGAGTCTTACGAGGTAACTTGGTGAAAGTGAAAGGAGGGGGCTTTTAACTTATTTTAACCTCTTTATTGCTGAATAGACGTATGTTCTGACTGGCTTGTATGCTCCACTCTCGTATTGTTTCATCTGATGAACAAAATAAGTTTTGATGGTTGGTATAGTTACTGATTTTGTTTATTCTGAAACAATTCTCTGTGTTTAAATATTCCTTGAAATAACATTTTATCTTGTCAGTACTGATGTTGATGGACATTCTTCAGCAGTGAAGGGGTTACGGTTAAATTTTTAAACAGAAAGAAAAAGAATGGTGACGTTGACCCGTTTTATGAGGGGTTTTTTCTGTTGGTTTCTTTTTTTAAATTGTTTTTTTTGGGGTTTTTTTTTTGGGG